AAAAAAAAAAAAATTCTATTCTAATTTCCTTCTTCATACATTATAAATCTCCTGGGACCAATATCATAAATCGACTTTAAGCACGCCTAGTCAACAACAATATTCTATTATACTTTTACAATGATCCCTTCATCTACTTTTTATTGTCTTGTAGAGAAATCTGCTAGGAACTGTAAAAGATTGTTTGTAGCTTTTACTACCTGTTCCTAAGCCAGTGACACAGTAGAAAGAAAATGGTTATGAGTGCAGCTGACTATAACTCATCTTCCTTCCCCTGGCTTCTAATGCATAGACAGAATCTGTACCTTTATCCCAACATGACAGATACATTCATAATTTTTTTTAAGGTGATATAATTACTAAAGTCCAGGAGACCTAAAGTTTTTTTTTTTTTTGAGACAGAGTTTTACTTTGTCACCCTGGGTAGAGTGCTGTGGCATCACTGTAGCTCACAGTAACCTCAAATTCCTAGGTTTAAGAGCTCTTTTTGCTTTAGCCTTCCACATAGCTGGGACTACAAGCACATACCACAATGCCCAGCTAGTTTTCTATTTTTTAGTAGAGATGGGTTCTCTCTCACTCTTGCACAGGCTTGTCTTGAACTCCTGAGCTTGAGCACTCCACCTGCCTCAGCTTTACAGAGTGTTAGGATTACAGGTGTGAGCCACTGCACCCAGCCAACATTCATAACTTCTTTTTTTTTCTTTGAGACAGTCTCATTATGTCGCCCTCGGTAGAGTGCCATGATGTCACAGCTCACAGCAACCTCAACCTCTTGGGCTTAAGCGATACTCTTGCCTCAGCCTCCCGAGTAGCTGGGACTACAGGCACCCACCACAATGCCTGGCTATATTTTTGTTGGTTTGTTTTTGTTGTTGTAGTTGTCATTGCTGATTTTAGCTGGCCCAGGCTGGGGTTCAAACCCGCCAGCCTCAGTTGGCGCTGCCCAACATTCATAATTTCTAATGGGATAAAGTATCAGCTATGTTTCAAACCGCACCTTAGTAACCTGACATCACTTTTAAATAAGCTGGATGCATTACTACTCCTATAGAAAAAGGAAACTTATAACTTAAACCTGGAAAACACTAAGTACTGATGAATTAAGAAACAGATGGGAAGGGCAGCGCCTGTGGCTCAAAGGAGTAGGGCACCGGCCCCATATGATGGAGGCGGCCAGTTCAAACCCAACCCCAGCCAAAAACTGCAAAAAAAAAAAAAAAAAAGAAAGAAAGAAACAGATGGGAAGGAGGGAAGAAAGGGGTAGTGCTACTAGACATGGTTCCTACTATGCTACTATAATTGCTGCTAGAAAGCCATCATTTTGGGTACACACTCTGTTCCTCACCTGCCCTATGGCTAACCATACAGCGGATAAAGGATCCGCTCAGTCAGATCTCAGGCATACGGCTTGAAGCCTCTTATCCTGGAGGGCTCAAGAGGAAGTCATTGTTCTAAAACTTTGTGATCCAACATGTACTTCACTGACATCTTAAAAACAGCCAGTTGTCCAGGATTTTTGCACGCTAAAATCACTATAGCTTTTTCCCAAAGCATAGACACTGCATCTTCTACCATCTGTCTGTCTATGTGTATGAAGTGTGGACACAACCAGCAGCTGACATCCTTCTGCTATGCCGAGAATGTGGTCAAGAACACCTGCTCCTCCATGCCTGACTGAGTGCTTTCTATGAACATCCATGAGAGAAACTATCCTCAGGTCTTAGCCACCAGGTCTAACAGTGTAGAGCAGTTGTTCTAACTAGCTAGTCTGTTTAAAAGATTTAAACATCTTTTTAAATTATTTTGTTTTTAAATTATAAAAGTAATAAACCTACTGAAAAAAAATGAATGGTCTGAAGGACACCTAGAGAACTTTAGTGGCATTGAAATGATCTGCTTCAGGGCAAGTGGCTCATTTTTCTGTTGTGCTTGCCAGTCTGCATGTGTAGCACACATGTTCTGGATGCAGGAGGTATTACATAATAAAATTTATATAACTGCCTCTCTTGCTTTATGAGCACTGTGAGTCAGGTACTGCTCATATTTCCCTTTTGGCATAGGCAGCTAAAAAGCTCAGAGCCAAATCTGTGACCTTCCTCTACAGAGGTACAACACCTCATGACTTGCAATTTTTGTATCAGCCTTAGCCTTTGATGACTTTTATTTTTCCTACTCTTCTTTTCATTTAACCACAATTTCTTTACTTCTTTTTTTTTTTTTTTTTTTGAGACAGAGTCTCACTCTGGCACCCTGGGTAGAGTGGCATGGCATCACAGCTCACAGCAACCTCAAGCTCTCTGGCTCAAGTGATCCTCTTGCCTCAATTTTTCTATTTTTAGGAAAATTTTCATATTTTTAGTAGAGACTGGGTCTCGCTCTTACTCAGGTTGGTTTTGAACCTGTGAGTTCAGGCAATCCACCTGCCTTGGCTTCCCAGAGCACTAGGATTACAGGCATCAGCCAATGTGCCCTGCCTATTTTCTTGTTTTTCATATTCAT